GGGGGCGGGGGTCGAGGATCTCCGCAGCGGGGGTCCGGGGTGAAACCCCTACCCCGGCTTCGCCCCCAGGGATCCCTGCGTGACAACGCGGGAACTGAAACCAAGCGGCCTGAGATGCTGCCAGGGACACCTCCTCTGCGCCTTGCCATTTACAGGATCCACAGCTGCGTGTCTGGGTGCTGCCAGTAAGTTTTACGGGCCAGCACATGAACCCTGGCAAATGAACAATGGTACAGGGGAGAGAGGCCTTTGGAAAGACCCCCCCCCTTGGGTGAGCGACCAGAGCTACAAGGGTGGGTGAGACATTTCTCTTCTGGTCACTCCTCTTTCTTTCTGCATAAATATGCTTGCCCGTGATAAGCAACCGGATTGACGGCCCGCAGAATAGAAGGGGCAACTGTGTTTGGTTAAAATAAAGAAAAAGGAGGTCAGTTTGGCACATAGCTTACCATACCTTCCATTGGCTGAGAAGCGTCATAGGACAGACTATCAGCGTCCCTCCACCCTTTCTGGCTTTCTTCTTCCGTTTTATCATTACATCTTCAGGCCCGTTGATGTCAGCTGATGCCCCATCACCGTCCTTGCCCGCAGCATCAGTTGCCACAATTTCATCCCCAGCTTCAGTGTCCTTCTGCCCTTGACTCCCATTGGTCGTACACGCTGCCCGTGTCTGCTGCACTCGATCCTCAACAAGGTCCACATTGTCCCCGTCGACCCTGCCATCCTCTTGTTGAGTCGCAGGCACAGCACTATTTCCATTCTCGATGGCAACATAGCCATTGCTGCCTGTACCAGATCTCTTGTTCTTCGCAGCCTTACTACGAGTAGTCTGTTCGCCTTCTATGCACTCACCTGACTCACCAGATTTTTTGTTTTCCGCAGCCCCACCACGGGCGATGAGTCCGCCGTCTACGCATTCACCTAACTCACCACGGGTAGTGTGTCCGCCTTCTATGCACAAACCTAACTCACCGGAGATATTGTCCTTCGCAGCCTTACTACGGGTAGTGTGTCCGCCTTCTATGCACTCACCTAACTCACCAGAGATTTTGTCCTTTGCAGTCTCACCACGGGCAGTGTGTCCCCCTTCTATGCACTCACCTAAGTCACCAGATCTCTCGTCCTTCACAGCCTTACTACAGGTAGCATGTCCCCCTTCTATGCACCCACCTAATTCACCAGATGTCTTGTCCTTCGCAGCCTTACCATGGGTAGTGCGCCCGCCTTCTATGCACTCGCCTGACTCACCATTGCTTACGCAAGCCCTCTCTATGACCTTCTTTGCAGCCCCCCCACCACGGCCTATGTTCGTCATGAGAAGCGCAATTGTCATGACAGTCTTGCCCAATCCCATAGCATCTGCAAGAATCTGCAAGCAGCTGTGTCAGAATCCCATGCATTACACCCAATCATCAGAGATTTCGCAAAAACATAATCCATAACTTCAAGAAGAGCCATAGCATGGAGCACCAGAGTACTTGACTGATAGCTGAATGATACACGCATGTAAGTTTTGTCAGTCTGTTGGTAAGCAGACGACAGAGTTCAAGTCCTGCTGGATAGACTAACACTCGGAGCTACCTTCCTCTGCGACAGCAGTGGAATCAAGAGAAAAAGAACAGATATGGGCAGTCTGTTCAGAAACAGATCAAAGAGTTTTGAGTCCTGCTAGATACCATAATGGTAGGGGCTACCCTTGTTGGGGGGGGTCGTGGGGCAGCATGGCACAAAAAGTCAATTCAATCTCAGCCGGACTTGTTGAAAGGAGAAAAGTTACCGAGAACCAGAGATTTACGTCTAGATTATGTACGTCAACAGTTACGCAGGAACAAAACAAATACTTGAGGATTTCCCATCGCAGCGCATATCAACTCTCAAGGGGTCTGCCAAGCCTAACACTCACCCAAGCGTTCACAGTGCACGCACAAGGTCTCTTTGACAGTCAGACATTCGAACGGACATTCACCCAAGGGCTCTGTCAAGCCAAACATTGACCCAAATGTTCAGATCGCGCAGCACAACCACAGCTTTACAATGGCACCCAGTTACAGAGTGAAGTTGAACTGCCGAAGTGCATCTGCCAGGCACCAATTTGCATCTGCCAACCTCTTTTGCAATGACAACCTAAGGACTCAGACTCAGGGTCTTAATTCACATCTAGCTTTTTTCATGGGGGCATCCCTAATTCGCATTGTCCTACCATTTTCAAGAGATGATCATAATCTAATATTTCAAGGCTAAGGTTTTATATCCATGGACTGAATGGACCAATGGTTGATCATTCACCCAAACATTCTTCTTACAAAATGATCAGCAGCTTAACCAATACAAGCAGCTCTCCCAGCAAAGTTTCACCATCACCATTCCTCACAGGAATGACAGCATCCAAGCTCACTAGTAAAGTGGAAGAAAGATATGTGATCAGAAACGGAACAGCAAGAAAAAAGAGAGGCGATCACCATCGCATGATACCTCTTGTTTTCCTCCTTTTTCTGTGTGTTTATTACTTTTTAGAAGGTGGCAGTAATTACTGACACCATAAAAAAGCAATGTGCAGAATGTACTTAAAAGAGAGTGGTTACTTGCACCAACTTCCAAAAATAAACCTAGCAGGCTAACGCTGCACCGCCCCCTCCCTTCTCCTCCAGCATCTTGAAGCAAGCAAAGACAAAAAAAATCAAAAACCTAGCAGGCTCGATGTCATAATGCAGTAACTTGTGCCACGGGAAATCTGACTCAAAAAAGTTGGAAAGCAACTCACCCCTCCTCTAGCCTTCTGCAGAGCGCTTGGGAACTCCAATGTTACATCACCCGAGAATACATTGTGATAAAACAAGGTTCCTCCTCTGAAGCACGATATGTCATCATCATCATCATCATCATCCACACACAGAACCCGCAGCTGACTGAGTTACTAATGATTGAACCCACATATTAGGCCATCATCATCATCATCCACACACAGAGCCCACAGTGAAATCATCATCAAACCCACATATTGAACTACCCACCAAACCCACAGCTAGCTAGCCACATACCAAAACAATACAGGCTGCTATACGGAAAGAGAGAGTGTGGTTATCCACAGTTTAGCTAACCTACAGTTACCCAATGACAGTTCAGCTGGCCCACGCTTAGCTAACCACATTGCCCAAACTAAATCGTATGCCGCACATACAGCTATTTGACATACCACCAGACATACAGGTAGCCAAGCAAGGCACACAGCAAACAAGAGTGCCATGATCATCCTGCAGCTCGCCATTTAACCTAGAAGAAAACGAAGTGTCAGTTGGGAAGAGTGAGGCCCACAACAGTCAGGAAAGATGTCGATTAGCAGAAGCTTGAAACACCCACACGACCTGCTTACCGTCACATATAGAAACATCCATATGCGCTACCAGAAAAACGTTAGGGCGGGGCTCAACAAACAAGTGGGACCTTGCTTCCTGACATACCTTGCTATGAAGCCGATAGCAAAAGATGAAGGGAGAAGCTCAAGCTACGGCACATGTGAGAGTGGAACACGCAAGCGGACGACGTGTGGAGAGACCAGTACGGATCCATATTCCCTATTAGACATTGTTAACCATAAAGGCAGACGTGAAGACACACATCTGATACTCAGAACTTGTGAAAACGGACAAGATCCATTCAATCCACTTATTCCCCTAAGGGATAGCCGTATGACTATTTACACAAGATCTACTCCCCTGATGCACTCCCCTTCTCCTCCCCTCCCCTTATCGTCATCCTCTTTCGCCTATCGCTTTCATTACCCCTTCTGGTTCTCAATTCCTTCTTTCATCTGACCACCTTCATCCTCAAATTCTCTTCCTTCAACACCTGCCTACCATATAGCCCCTGTCCCAAAAAATCTACCCACCCATCTAGCTCAAAAGCCGCTAGCATAAGAATTATAGACCCCTACTGTAGGTTCAGGCTTAGTTGGGTGACAACATTGTCTTTTCTCAATTCAAGGTTCCTTTTTTTTTCTCTATTTTTCAGCACATGTCACTGTAGGAATGTCCTCTCGAATCAGTGCATCACAGCACAAAGCGAAGGAGGATATCAGGAGCCAGCAAGCACGACAAACTTACTCGTCTGCAAGGCGATGTGACTCCCAGCATGGATGCAAAGTCTTCGCCGTTTCTTCTACAATGCTACCGCCTTCCAGGTTGGTCATCCACCACAAAGCTTCTTTCTGATAAGGACGCAATTCACATAACACAGTAGCTGGTGGCTCGGCTTCCTGAAAATATGGGCCCAGAGAAACGCATACAAGCAAATGAGTCATGGGCATGCAAAAACAGAATGGAAGTGTCTGAGGACTCTGCATCACGAACGACGTATTTAGTTTATTCTTTTTTTCCCCAAGTGGGTAAGCCCCTGATTGCGTCAGGGTTTGAAATTGTGACCTGTTTATCCACAGTTACATGTGTGTATACATTCAGCCACAAATGGGCTGGGTTCATGAATAATTCTGCATCAACTCCCCACAAGCAAATCCATGCAGAAGCATTTCCCCGGCTAGCCCAGAGACGGCAAAGTCCAGCCTACCTATGGACCTGAACCACACTCGCAACGATATTTTTCGTCGACGTGCTGACAGTTCTCTTTCTCCAAGGATAGGGAGTGCCTCCTCCCACACTCCACATGGGCAATTTGAGATGGGCTGCCTGCCCTCCCCCTTTATAAAAAAGAACATCGCTCAGAGCAACCACCAAATGAGGTACGGATAAGATGACACGGCGTTCTATTTTGTGGGGTGGGGTAAAGATGATAGGAGTGTGTCTTCACTATCACACGGAACCTTCAATTTACCTCCCACAGAATTGGGACTTCGGAACAATAGGAGTGCCTTCAACGGTGAAATCCCAGGATAGCCCATGAGAAAGGGACTCGGGACGAACCTATCTAGCCTACAGTTACTCTATTTGGCTATTCACATCACTGATTCAATACCATCAAACGCACCTGTATCCAACACGCAGAGCAATTGATGAATGATAAGAAACAAAGACTGATCAGCGTCACAGCTCAGAGCAAAACAAGTTCCCATGGGCTTCTTGCCTGCACTCGGTCCAACTTGCATTGCAAGCAACTGAAACGCGGGAGACCCCATTCTCAAAACCAGAGTGTTTTGCTGAAGACAAGGAAACAACTGCCCCAGTGACACACCTTAAGCTCAGTGTAGCCTGTGACGCCACATATCTGACTGACGTCAGAATCACTGAGTGGCCCTGCACCGTCTTCTCCATCACTCGCAACGCTTCCCCCTTCTTTCTTTCTCTGGTTCTCCATACTCAACCATGCTGTACCTGTAACAATCCCACAAGGTCTCTTGCCGGCTGACCCCTGCACGCCAGTAGACGAGCCACAATTGAAGAAAGAGATCAGGAACAAAGTAGTTCATCATAGACCATAACACTCCATATCTAAGACACACGAGCACTACTGTACAAGTCACTCACATCAGGGTCACTGCCCTGAATGACCTTCTTTCCCCATCAGTTGCAAAACCGTAGCCTTTTTTTCAAACAAGCAGGGTAGCCCCTGACGTTACCATATTCATCTGATTTCAGGAGTTGAACTCATGATCTGTTTACTACCAGTCGTATCCGTGTACCGTTCAGCCACATCCTTTGTCAACATACCAGCAGCCAACTTTTACAGACCAGACTATGCGACCTGACCCATCTGGGTCGTACCAGCCAGGCCATTTGCACACACCATATCCATCCAGCTTCACAGACATGATAGAAATGACCTTATTCTTGTCTTTTCTTAGGCTGGGATACGCAGGCAGCAGGAATATAATGGTTCTGTTTATGCTCCAAGGGGGGGGGGGGGGGGGGGGGGGGAGTAAGGGGACATTGTGTTGTGGTAGGGCCCAGTGGAGGTCGTTCAGGGGCAGAGAAGCCAGCCAAGCGTAGTCAAAGTACCAGTTGTAATAGTACTGGCCACTGCGGCCGCACCAGCGCCAGCAGCAGTAGAAGCAGTAGTATGGTGGTGCTAGTAGAGTAGCAGTAGAAGAAAACATGGTTTCGCACACTGGATGCAGCTAGGTTGGAAAGTTCGATGCAGCCAACAGCCAGCACTGCCTAATCATGGACTGGCAACATCGACGACCTGATAATGCTGGTCATGGTTTGAGCAGGGACCAGTAGAGGCCCTACTGAAGTCCTTTTTTCTTGTTTTCAAACCAGCAACCAGCCAAATACCTCCCTGAGGGCCCAGAGGCGAAATAGGCCCAAAAATCATGAAGCAGGCTTTTGCATTGGACCCACCTGGGACAGCCCCAAAATCCAGATGACCCATACTACAAAGATTGTAGCACAGGAACCTCAGACCTGACCAAAAAACAGTCTGGACCGTGACAGAAAGACCACTCATTTAACATAAAAAGAGCCAACTTCAACCTCACATTGACCATCCTTTCAACAAGCAAACCAGTAAAATGACCGAAGTATCGGTCACATACCAAGACTTGTAGGTTGCTCCAAACTCAACTGTGCCGTGTGGCTTGCTCTCAAAAGCAGCTTGGCGGGGAAGGGGGAGTTTGTGTCTCCCTGAGAGAAAGAGATCCGTGCTGAAAATCTGTGTTCATTATTTCAATACGTGCCCCATCAGGATCGTCAGCCTTCTCTCTCTCTCTCTCTCTCTCTCTCTCTCTCTCTCTCTCTCTCTCTCTC